CACCCTTCTCCCTCCCATCTCTGTCCCTCTTGCCTCTCTCCTCCCCTCCCTGCCTTGGGACCCTCCCCTGCCCCTTCCACCCTTGCCCTGGGATTCTCCCTCACTCCTCCCACCCCTGCCCTAGGACCTCCCATGCCCCTTTCACCTCTGCCCGTCCTGCCCCTGCCCTGGGATCCTCCCCTGCTTCCCCCACCCACTCTCTTCTGCACCCTCCTGTCCCTGCCCCAGGGTAATCACATCTAGACTTTTAACACTCTCCCCTGCCTTGATTGTTTTCACTCAACTATACACCTGGAGGTTCTGCACATGGGGGAAGGTCCCAGCCCACAGCAGGGTAGTTGACAGGGCAGGGTCTGGCCTGACTGTGCCCGCTGATCGCCTGCCTGGTCTCTGCAGCTTGCTGGCTCCCCCACGCAAGCCCTGCCTCCTCTCTACCCTCTCCAGCCTCTTCTAAGAGCACCCTCCTTCAGAGGCTTTCTGGCTCCTCCTGTTCTTGCCCCACTGGACTCTGTCAGCTCCTGTCTTGGCCCTGACTTAATTCCAACTGCAGGTGCGTCTGCCTCAACCCTCCCCACTGCCCGAATCAGGGCCTCTCTCCTTGGCCTCTTTCCAGGTCCCCAAGGCAATGGTGTCTCACATCCACTGGGATAAGGGGCCAGAGGTGGGCGCTGGGGTTTCGGGGAGTCTTTTCCATAAATGTCTTATTTTTTTCCAATTAAGCATGGCCACAGAGGACACGGAATGGCAAAAAAAAGAGCTTCTTAAAAGCACATGTGAAAGGAGGGAAAGGGCCTCACACATTTCATCAGATCAAATCCACTCCTCGGGTCAACTCTGCAGAGAAAACACGTAACAAACCACAGCCTTAGTCAAAGCAAGCAACACCCAATCTAAAATATAAAATATATAAAATATATTATGTTCAGGAGACCGAACTCCAAACCACAGACTCCATATACGCACTTTGGAGGCGCTGCCTGTTTGAAATTAAATCAGTGTTCAAGGAAGAGGGGTGGCATGTATGGACTAACATTAGATCACAGTCAGGCCTTCCTCTGGGGAGCTCTGGGAGTCCATGCACAGGATGGTGGGAGGGGATCGGGCTGTCGGGGGGGATGTCAGGTCCTCCAAGGGCCTTCTCATGAGTGTCCACAAACATGCTTGGTGCCCAGGCTGTTGGGGACCTCAGGTCCTCCATGGGCCTTCTTCCTGGTTTGTCAAAACCACCCAGTGGGCTTCACCCAGCAACCACCCTCCAAGCAGACAGCCTTGTGAGGCTAGTGCAATCCGTCCTCTGGCTGGGACGCCAACTTGCAGTACCTCCTGACTCGGGCGTGGCCTTCACTTGTGCCCTTGGTCAACTCCCGTGTGGGGCCTGACTGCACCGCGAACACGGCTGCTGTGGGAGAGGATATGCAGGCAGCAGGGTCCTCCTGGGCCTCTCTGACTGGGACCTGGAGGCCACACGGGCTATTTCGTCTCCTCAGGGGTGAGGCCCAGCTTGTAAAGGAAGCAGGGTGCGCTAGTGGGAGGAGTGGAACTGAGTCTACTCTGGAGTCTGCACCCGCTGTCCACAAGGGCTGGAGCCACTGGATGGCTCCAGGCTTGCACCCCCAGGAGCTCCCACACCCACAAAACTGGTCTGCCTGGCTCAATGAATACAGGGGTTGGGTGCATGACCAGTCGCTGCAGTGAAGCTGATGGTAACTGGGAGCAGCAGAAGGGCCCTGCATGTCTGCCCGACTGCTGACCGTCTGGGATAGAGGGTCTGGTGTCTGTCCTTGGGCTGGGGAGGGTGGG